AGGTGTCCAAGACCCCCAGCTAACTTTCCAAGTCTTTTTCTCTGATGGAGCTTTTTCTCAAGGAAGGGTGAGACCTGGAGGAAATAGCCCAGGAAGGAAGAAGGAAGGAGAGTTGAGAGGGAGAAGGGTCAGTGGCATCTCTGGCAGGAAATTCTGCCCTTCTCTCCCTGCCCTCGCCCGCATGACCACTCTGGTCTGTGGCTGGACGGATGACATAAAATGCCAGCACTGCAGGAAACCGTACTCTTTATTTAAGTGTATGGTTCAATAAGACGTTCAGACAGATCCTCTGACATCCACAAATAAAGAGGAAGAAAAAATTTCAACCACCATCTGACTGCTCGGCTGCTCTTGGGTGGGAGGTACCCAAGCTCATGACCAGAGCTCCTGGGGTTTCTGGAAATGGTACCCATTCCCGGAAGGATTATGCCACACCCACTCCCAACAAGCCTGGGGAGTAGGGAAAGCATTTGGAGACCCCTCCCACAATTAACCCCCTCAGACCTGTTCCTACCCTGGGAATCCCGGGGGAGCAGTCAGGGAGAGGGAAGGGAAAGACATGGGTGTCTGGGGTGGTGAACCTCTGCTCCTCCCCACGAGACCCACCTCTCCCTCCACCTGCCTTTTGAAGTCTTATTTCTCCAGCCACAGGCAGCTCCTCCTACTCTTCCTCAACACCATGCCCAACCCCTACCCTACCTGCGGCAGGGGCCAAGTAGGCAAGACACAGGTGAGCACCCAAAAGAAGACTCAGCCTCTGGCTCTCAGGTGGGCTGGGCAAGCCAGAGAGGTACCTGCCCGGGCTTCCACTCCCAGGTCCTCCTCCTGGGAATCTGCCCCCGCGCCCTTCTACTTGTAAAATGGACAACACCGAGATAACCATCTAGACAAACACTTTTCTGAAGCTTTTTCCGATGGCAGGTTATCAGAGTGGGACAGTCACAATCACATGTCATTATTCTCCGCCTCCCACCCTCCCCTGGGGGCCAGGAGACAGGATCTGCCACCCCACCCAACCCATAGCCACCTGCTCCTCCAGATACCCATCCTCTCACCTAAGGACCTATCTCCAGGTATGGGGGAAGGGCAGCTGTGCTGTCCTACGGCCCCTCTCTAGGATGGGTGGCCCGGAAGTGGTTCCTGCAGTAACATTGTCTCAAGAGATCTTGGCAGAGAATGGTGGGCAGGGGGGGGAGTCAGGGTGACAGTGCACATTGCAGACTTTCAAGAAAGTGGGAAAAGGGGACCACTGTCCTCCAAAAGCCCCTCCCTGGCCCCCACGTTCTCCTTGTCTTCTCCTTGGCTGATTCATCATTGAGCAACCAGCAGGCTCCCACCCCCCCCCCCCCGCCCACCTGAGCCCAGCTTGCTGACTTCTCCAAAAGCCCAAATTGCCCTGACACCATGCCCCTGGATCTCAGCCACTCCAGCCCCGCCCTCCCACCCCCAGGTTCTGGCCCCGCCCCCTCGAGTGTCTCTTGCCCCCCCCCCCCACCAGTCCCCTTCATTCTGGAACCCTGAACCTCCACCACAGCCTCAACGTGCACCTCTTGCCACCCTGCACACACTTCTGGACTTTTACATTGTTTCCAAGCCGTTGGGATGTGTCCCCAAACTCCTAGTCCCCTGTCTCTGGGATTCTCCAGAGTCTATCCATCCTCAAGCTCAAGTTTGGCATTTTGAGTTCCTTCCATCTGCATCCCATCTACCACTCACTCACTTATTCACGCTCGTGCACGCTCTCGTACTCATGTGTTCATTCAGTCATTCTTTCTCTGTGCAGGAGAGAGGGAGTTGGTGCTGGGGCTTTGTGCTGGCTAGGCCCCCTCCCACTGAGCCTTAGTCCCAGCTGCAGGCATTCCCTTCCTGACTCACCCATTCTGTCCCAAGTGCCCTGGGTACACTGGGAAGGCCTGTTGAAGAACTGGGCTGGGAAGGCGATCAGTATCTGCAGTAAGTATTTCAAAAGAATCTCTCAGCCTCAATCCACAGGTCCATTCTCTGCTGTGTTCTCAGTTGCCTGAGGTTCATGGTTCACACAGGCGACCTGCCTCAGCCCTTCCCACCCTCACAGGGTTTGCTCACACCTGCACACACAGAAGCAAGGGGCTCGGACTTTACGGATCCCCTTTGCTTGGGCACCTCATTTACCTTCTGCCCTCTTGTGCTTTCAGACCACGACACCGTGGACTTCTTTGAAATTTCTTACAGATGAGTGAAGCTGGAGGCATGTGCAGGCACGTGTGCAAACCCAGACACACACACGCACACGCACACGCACACGCACACGCTGCACCTGGCCTCACCACTCAGGGAGCTTCGCTACTTGCTGGGGAAGGGCTGCACCCTCCTCACCTCCACCCTGCCCTCACCCCCACCTCGGCTGGGCTAGGCAGGCCAAGGCTCCTATAGTACCAGTGGCTCTGCCAAGCCAAGGCAGTCAAGCCAGGACCTGCCTGGGTCCCAAGGTGGAGAAGCTTCGGGTTCAAGGCTTGGCTTCTTTCCCTCTCCCTTTTCCAGGGAGCTCCCAGGCTCCCCCAGGGCCTCACCCAGGCCCCTCCCAAGGAACAACTCCCAGAGCACAACGGGGCCTGCATCCGGGACCTGCCCGTGGTCTTCAGGTCAAGAAGCCACCTCAGCCCCTGCCTCCTTCCCTGGGCTCTGAGGCTCTCTGGACCCTCCTGGGTCCTATTAAGTCTCCCAGGACACAACTCCCAGATCCCAGAGAGGCCTGTGTCCCACATCTGACCACCCCACCGTCCCCACCAACACACACTTGTCCCTTCTGTTCAGGGAGGCCGAGCAGCTGTGGGCAAGGCTCCCAGTGGTCTGCCCAGTGTCCCAGCCCCTGGAGAAGAGCCCAGGCAGCTGCTGGGCCAGAGAGGGTCTTACCACCCTGCCCACTCCTCTGGAGGGCCCCTGGAGCCCCCAGCCACAGCAGGACTCCTCATTCTCAAACTGGCCTTTGGAAAAAGTTAATAATTAACAAAACCTCTTCCTGCCCTGCCTCTGGAAGTCCCCTGTCCCCAGGCCCCCTTCACTGCCCCTTCTCCTGGCCTCCCAAGCCTGCAGGGTCCCTTGGGCAGCCCCAGACCTCCCAGACCGGATCTGGGGTGCTCACCTGCCTGCTCGATCCACCTCCACTCCTGCAGGGTTCTGGGGCCTGGGCTCTGGCACTGCCAACAGCTCCCCCGTTCAGCCCAGCCAGGACTCCTCCCCGCTGCACTCCCAGAATCTGTCCCACTCCCTCCCGGCCCTGCCTGGCTGAGCTGGCTCGGTGGGGAGGTAGTGGCTGAGCTCCTTCTTAACTTGGCCCTGGGGTTGGGCCCTGGTTAAAGGGATACACACCTTTTTTCACACCCCTCTACTGCCACCCCAGAGGGAGTGGTAGAACCTGGCACTCCCCCAACTCCACCCTCCTAACCCCACAGGGCCTGAGCAGAACCTGACAAAGTGGAGAAAGGAAGGGAAGGACGGTCACCTGCCCTTCTTACCTGGGTCACTGGGAGCCCAGTTTCAGGGGCCCTCAACAGACAAGTTCAGTTAGCATTCCAGTCCAGCCTAGCTGGCCGCAAAAGCTTCCTCGATGTTTGGATGTCAGGAACAACACCTGACTTCTGTTGACACTGGGGACCAGAGGTTGGCTGTGGTCTTCCCTCTCCAGGTCAGCGCATCCTCACCTCTGCTGAGACCCATCCCCAAAACCCTTCATGCACAGTAGAGGATTCCTCTGCAAATCCCCCCACACCTTTCCCCCAGGTCCCCAAAGAAATTGGCCAGCTCTACCTCCCTGTGGTGGGGACTCTCTCCCACTCCCAGTGACTTCCACTCACTGGGCACGCATCTGTGTGTTGGGTTGTCTGATAAGTGCTGCACGTCATCTTCCCAACACTCCTATACGTGAAGTCCTGTGCCTATCCCCTTTTTACAGGTGACAGACACACTCGAAAAGCATGTCCAGAGTTTCACAGATGTAAGTGGCAGATAGGACTTCAACCCAGGCAGGTCAGCCTGTACCTCAGCCCTACATTTTCTTTGCCGTTGGTCAGTGGGGTCTCAAGACACTTGGGTTCATGTCCTTTCCCCCAGTGTGCACACCTGGGCCCTCGTCTCCTGCTGGAGGATCAGCTCCTTGACAAGGCAGAGCCTATGCCTCAGAGAGGTCTAAGCCAGGTCTCCGGCTTGTTGGGCTTGTTTCCACCCTCACCCAAATCCATGGGGAGAAGGCAACACCCAGTCAGTTCCACTGCAACCGCTCTCGTTCCCGGGTCTGTCCCACTGATGACTCTACCACCTGCCCCCAAGGATCCCTCACCCATGGACCCCAGGGCAAGTGTCCAATCAAGACAACATCTTTCAATTTTTTTCCATTTTTTTATTAATCAAATGATACAAAACAACCATCATTCTGTAAATGCCCACACACCCGGCTGCTCCTCTCCCCACAGTCACACCCTCCCAGCCTCTTCCTCAACGCTCTCCCTCCTCCCCTGCCCTAGCCCTGGGACAGAGTCTTGGGAGGAGGGTGGGGCAGGGCTGGAGGCTGGAAGGGATAGCCTGGGACAGACAGCTACAATTTAGTTTGGAGATGGAGAGGGGCAGGTTCTCAGAGATCCTTTTTGGTACCATACCCAGCCGTATCCCCAGCTCCATTCTTCAAATCATTTCCCATAGCCCAGCTTCTCTGCCCTTTCCCCACGATCAAATCACTCGGCCCTTACACCACTGTTACCCCTCCATGTCCTCCCTGGTCCCAACCTGCTCCCTGAGCTTCCCTCCGGCGGGGTCTCTGGGTCCCGTCATCTCCACAGAGCACGGGAAGGAGGTATTCAGAGACCCCGGAGAGGGCTATTATGAACCTGAACTTGGCAGAGATGAGGAAAGGTACAGGCTGGGGAACAGGGTGGGGGTGATGGAGAGAAGTTTTATTTCCAGGCCCACGGTCTTTAAGGTCCCCTTTCCCCCCCGTATTCCCCCGAAGAGATTCCAGGGAGAAGTCCTCAGCTCCTTGGGACAGGGCTCTCCAGCTTCACACTCTTGGCGGCTTCTCCAATTAGCTCCCAGAAGCTCCCGAACTCCAGTTTAGAGTCGTTACAGTTGCCCAGGTTGGCAATCTTCTCTTCCAGCCCACAGTTGCTCTGAGCAGAGGGAAGAAGCCACAGCTCAGCGAGACAGTGCCTGAGATCTTCCCACCCCGCCCTGCCCAGGGGCAAACAGCAGGGCCTGAGCCTGCCTGGCACTGGCAAGGGGGAATCTAGGGGTTGCCAGTGCCCGTGTGGGTGGGGTCGGGAGGCACTTGCTTGGGAAGTCAGGGGACTGACTAGGGTGGGGTCCATCCCCTCAGTACCGGCATGAGGTGTGGCAGCTGTTGGGTGACCAGGTCCCGAAGCTCAGAGGAGGTCAGTGTCTCCTTGCCGCCCTCCACCGAGTACTGGTGGAAGTTCCTGATGAGGGTCTCAATGGCCCTCTCCACATCACTGAATTCCTGGGCGTCCTGAGGGCAGCAGACATTAAGCGCATCGGGGAGGCTCCTGATCCCCGGGAGCTTGGGTAAAGCCAGCAGGGCAGAAGACAGCTGGAGTGGCCCTGCCCACTCCAGAGCCCAGGACCCAGTCCCTGTCCCTCACCTGCACCCCAGCCCCCAGCAGCTTCTGCCCTTACCCACCGGTTGGGCAAGACTTTCCTCCCCGCCCCCCCCATCCCCAGGCAGGACAGGTCCCAGCACGTGTGCAGACATCCTCTTCCCAGGAGGAGTCCATCCCATCACCTTGTGTGGGGTTCAGGGAGGGATCTCAGGCCTCACTGCCGAGGTCTGGGTGTAGGGCCAGGCCAAGGTGAGGGGCAGAAGTCAGTGGGGAACACAGATCCCCGGGGTGGAAAAGAACAGGGAAACAGGCCAAGAGCGATGGTCCCACCTCAGCATTGGCTGACCGACACTGTCCCATGGTGCCTGCAGCACTTGGTCCCTTGGTGAGTCTTGTCGTCCTACAGCCTGACCCAGCAGAACCGATGGATCATGATCTGCCTGGAGAAAGGGGACCTGAGGTGAGGGGACACTTCTGCTTTCTGTCTCAATGACCCCTTTTGGCTCCACCCAAGATCTTCTGCCTCACCCCAGGGGTCAGAGGCAACCCCACACAGACCCAGTCCCTGCCCAGGGCCCAGGAGATAAGGCCACAGTGCCCAAGCCGACCCATTTAGAGGGTCTCACCTCCGTCTCACACCTCCAGCCACCCACTTCTGCTCAAAACGCGTGAGCTCCCGGACCCAGTCCCCAGCTCTCCCTTGGAAGACTCAGGCGAGAGAGGCCCAGGGTGCTCCCTGTACAGGAGAAAAGCCCTGGGTTTCCTTACCTGCTGGCAGCCGCTGAGACTGGACGGGAGGAGCCAGCTCACCTCAGCTGGGCTCTTATACCTGGGGGAAGGGAGGGGAGGCGGGGGGGGGGGGGGGGGGGGGGGGGGGGGGGGCCACCACCGGGGGTGGGGGGGAGCGGGGGGG